TCAGTGTGGCCAACAGGGGCCTTTTTATAGCCTGTACCTACTTCGGTCAACACTACGTGACCAGCCAGTCGGTGATTAGGCATACGTAACACATGTCCCAATAATCTCACTCGATGAACGTTCACAACCGAATCAAATGACTCACCTCTTCTCCATAAAACTCTACAAATGACTTCTGAGTTACTCAGGTGGTGACACCATGGAATACGGTCTACACTACGAAGGCAACGGTGGTCAAACACCTGAAGCCAGCTTTCTCATGTCTTCCACCTTCAATACTCATGTTTCACAACCATACAGTAGGACAGACCGGGCTGATGTGCAAGTGCACTACACGCGACCCTTAATAGACAATCAGATATCACGGCGGCACCACAGGTGGCGTAAGTTGGCAAAAGTCAGTCGAGCCACTTGTATATTCGTGCAGAGATTTCATCGACCACTGAGCCAGCCACCACGGCTGATCCCACTTCCCAGGTAAGTGGAGTGGTCAACAAACTGAACCACTACACCCTCTATTGTTAGCCACGGTGGGGCACCACTGAAGACCAATCCTGGAGCAACAATTTGCATTTGCGTGGTGAGAAGCGCATCCCAAGCATTCTCAAACTGCCACTCCAAGTGTCCAGAGGACTCTGAATCTTGTCAGCGTATTTACCTAACAGGACTATGCATGTTATCTGCATATTTCAAGTCTAATGAAAATTCTCCACCGATTAGATCAACGTCTGTGTGTGTAGTCAGGTGACGAGAGGGAGACCTCCATAAGAATATCTATGATAAAATTGAATAAGAATTGAGAGAGTGGGCAGTCTTGACAGACACCACTCGATGAGAATACCTCCCCGGACATCTCACAATAGTCTCTAACGTGCCTGCAAGTGTTCGAGTAGAGAGCCTTCAGTAAGGTGATGTACTTACTCGGTACGCCTTTCAGTGAGAGACATTGCCATAGGACTTCTTGATCAACGGAGTCGAATGCCACCGCCTTCAGGTCGAGAAATACAGCTATTGTTGGGTGTCAGTAAACGTGTCTGTATTCGAGAACCTGGAGTAGTCTGAATATTTGGTCGATACATCCGCGGCCAGGTCTAAAGCCTGTCTTCTATCTGCTTTTCTCGAGCTTGTTGTTCCCGAGCTTCACTCAGACGTCGGAGAATTATAGAACCTAGGATGTTGGACACATGTTCGTCAGGCTGATTCCTCTGTGGTTATCACAAAAGGACTTCTCGCCTTTCTTGAAGACTGGGATAATCGGTGATCCAGACCAGTTAGAGGGGATCGTATTTGATTCCCATATACTAGCTAGCACTCCCGTTAACCTGACTAATAACACTCTACCACTATCCTTGTATGCCTCAGGAGTTAGTCTATCTGATCCTGTTGCCCTTCCTCGTTTCAGGTTACCTACCGCTTTCTCGACTTCTTCTAGTGTTGGGGGGCCTATCTCTATGTCCCACTCAAGATCCCATAGGATAGCTGGCAACGCAACGTTGGCTGGAAGCCAGTTAAAGTGCTCCTCGGAGTGTTCTATCCATCGTTTCAGTCGTCTCCCCTGCCGGTGAGTCGCAGATCCGTCCTTCTCCGCTATGGTCTCACTAACCATAGTCGACCTTTTCCCCCAGTTCCCTTAATAAGTCTAAATAACTGTCTACTGTCACCAATCGCCGCCACCTTTTCCATCCATCTCTTTAGCCTTCGCTGCCCACCACTGTTCGCAGTCGTTGTGTAGACTTTTTCTCAGTCTACTTTTAAGTTGGGCTCGTTCGTCATAGTAATCAGAGCTTGCAGGGATGCGTTCACGTGCATCCATTAGTTCGGAAGAAGCTGCTGATATCCACTAGCTCTTCTTAGCCACTCTTTCAGAGTCGGTTACGGTCTTCAGCGCTGCTTTTACGGCAGACTGGAGATGGCACCAAGCTTCTTCTGGATGAGTGATAGTCTTCTGTCCCGACAACTGTCTAGCCAACTTCTCACAGAACACGGCTTTGGTGTTTTCCTTGTCCAGCAGAACTCGTGGTCGTTTTGTTACCAAATTTTTCTCACGTCCATTGAGACGCAGGCATATACGCGCTCGGATCAACGCGTGGTCGCTATCCAAACACGTACTCCAGAATGAGCGACAGTCTTCCACTGATCCTCTGCAGCGATGACTAAGAGCAATGTGGTCTATCTGTGTCCATCGTTGGGTTGAGCTCGGTGGACGCCATGTCGGACAGTATCTTTTCTTACGTCTGAAATTGGTGCTGGCTAAAAATATGCGGTTATCTGAGCACAGTTGTAGTAGGCGATCACCGTTACCTGTTCGTTCAACCGGGACTCCGAAAGTGCCACCTAAGTGCCTTTCTGCCTCACTCAGTCTACCCACCTGTGCTTTGAAATCACCTACAACAACCACCACGTATGAAAGTTTGACTTTCGAGAGGAGGCTAGACAGTTTACGGTGGAAGTGATCCTTCACTTCATCCGAGCTGCAGCCAGTGGGTGTGTAGGCAGCAGAGATTACAAAGAGACGACGGCGAGTCTCCCTATTCCTTTTGGTTCTCGCTGTGCCGTTCAACCGCATAGCGCAGAGGCGACTATCAGCTGAGATCCAGTCTAGTAGTGAGCTTTCTTCCCTAGTGCTTAATGTTGTGCCTACACCTGCAAGACCGCGAGAGCTAGCTATCGGATCTCTAGAAACTCGGAGGGTGAATTTTGCGTATTCACCAGATTGGTCGGGAGATGTAAAGTGAGTAACCGCACTTAGGTCCTGTATGCGTGTCTCATCTCACAAACACAGCACACATCCATGCCCCGAGTTGCTACAATCTTTGCCAATGAAGCCTGTTGACCAATTTGACGGAGGGTGCGGACACTGAAGGCTCCAATATATAATTTGGAGCGTAGTTTAAGGAGACCAGGGATGCATGCTGTTCAGTAGATTCAGATCGTTGTCAACGGCTGCAGAGCTAGGAGAGATTGAAGATGATGTAGTATTGTTAATTGAGAGACGCGAAGGAAGATTAGGAGGTAGTGATGAGGTGAGGGAGGTGGATAGCAGTCAGAAGAAACTTGAGTGCTGACAGAGTTGTGAGGGCGGTTGACACTTCCCGGCTGCTCAAACCGTGAAAGGCTATTTCTTCTTAAGTTACCTGATAGAGATTTGTGCGACCACAGGGCCTGTCGGACATCTGCTTGAGGTCTGTTACACACAGCCTTTTGTGTATGGTTGTTTTGAGCTTTTATTGTTTTGGGGCCGGATGGTCGAGAGGAAACGACAAATGAGCCAAGACCGCCGACCCGGCAGACCGTGGGGCATGGTGGAGTGTGTTATTTTTGGGACCGACCTTTTCTAACCCCCTCCCCCTTCCACTTCCACTGAGAAGGCAGCATCAGCATGGCACTGCTGGTCATCCAAGGGAAACACCTTACTGGTGTCACACCCCATCCAGCTAGCAGCAGTACGACTTCGCCCTAAGACCCCCATCATAGTGTAGTGTAGTAATTTACACTGCAACGGTAACTAACTGCTTTTCGTCTAACCACTATCCAACGGACCTTTATGGTATGGTAGAACCTGGAGGGAACAAATGTTTCACCAGCATAGCTCATTAGGTCATTGTGATATGCAAGCCCGACCACTACGTCAAGGTAGCAGCTATCGGTTGGGACGCAGCAATATAAGGTTACACGTTCATTGTGTCTGTCAAGCACTCTCAACTGGGAACCAGAACATGTAATCAACCTTTATCTTTTCAGTGTCCAACATGCTAGATTCTGGTCATTCAGCATCGAATTCTCTACTTGCTAACTCTAGTAACACTGCGTAACCAAGGTGACTGGAGGCTGTAGGCGACATTCGCTTAGAACTGATCCAGGTGTCATGCATGCATCCCCACACATCATCTGCATTCGGATTATCATATCAGATTTTTCTACACGCTTTTCCCCTCATCTGATGACTTACCACCACTTTTGATCAAACGTTTTGCCTGTCGCATTATCTTTGGACTCACTGCCTTGTGGCTATATGTGGAAATGTTAAGTGTGGCAAGTTTGATCGTTGGGCAGTTTTGCCAGAGCCTGTATTGATATCAACTGACTGACTAACTTAATGTTTCCAGGGTGTATCTCATACGTCAATCTCAAGAATGTCGCTGTTTGACTAGATCAACTAACACACTTCTAAGAAGATGATATAAAATTGATAAATCAGCTGATAGTTTAAAGAAACTTAAAAAGTATACGATTTTCGTTTAAGTTCAGTATGCAAAAAAAACAAGCAAAGATAGTGATAATGCATACCGTTCTGAAACGCTGAACACCACTTAAATGTGAATGCTCAGTGGCTATGAATTCTTCTTTAAGGAAATTTCATCTATATGCAGATTCCTAACAGCATCACTCTTACGTATGCGGTTTTAAGATGACTACCAAACCAGGATGCATGATAGTGCAAGCTCACCTCCCGGATCCAGAAAACTGATGCAGCGTGGTATGTGTTGACATTCACTTGTAAACGCCTGAATGCCAACCATCAAATCTCACGTCAGGAAATAGGAAAGGCAGTAAAGCAACAAGACGTGTTAGGAAACACCGAAGTATTAAAAAACTATGGTTTGTATGCAATACTCCTGGTGTTTTTTTAAAAGGACCTTTTCCGTTGATTTTGAGTCTTCAACCAACCTGATATTTACATTTATGATTATATGTAATACAAGCATTTGTGATAACTAAGCAATCAACTCTTAAAACTCAGTTATCATCAATAAACTAAAACTTCGAGCTCACAATTATTGTCTCCACAACGAAATGATTTCAACTATCCTGATTTACCATCCTTTTTGCTTCGTTAGACACTCCCATTGAACACCGCTTTGACGCAGGAGGGTTAGCTGTTCTCTCAAGGCAGGTGTGAAGATTATTTTTACTGAGTCATTTTTGCTCATCATCATACCTCTTTGAAAGCACGCAAGCCTTAATTTTCGTATTTAAAAAATGTATAGTGTAACTCAGTAATCGTTTGCAGTTTCACGCAGCAAGCAATGACTCAAGTCTGGTCTATGAGGGCTGACGATAATAAGGTAATCAAACTTCTGTAAATTGAGTGGCATTCAAATTCAAGACCTATTAGTCAAAAGCCGACCATCTACATCGATGGATCATAGTCCCACCTAGGATATCAAGTTAAATCATCAGTTTTCATACCATTTTCTTTACTTCACATACTGCAGTAAGTATGAGGATACTTTACGGTTAAAAAAGCGACTAAATGTAGTAAGCTCATTGGTGTACTGGTGAATATTGTTGGTCACACTCCAGACTGTAGAGTTATTCGGAAGCCCTAATAACTAGGAGGGTTATATATCCATACTTTTTTCAATAAGACTTTGGTACATTCTCAAAATAGTATGACTACCAAAATTTGTTTTTCAAAAGCATATCCTACTGCACACTTACTGAGTTATTTCATCACTGATTTTATTCTTATCATATAAAGCATGATTGTCACGTAGCATGGACAACTCCTCACTAGTCCTTCCAGTGTTCCTTCTCAGTGTTCGGCAGTTTTGAACTAGACGATCTAGCAGTTTTGATTCAAATGAAATAATAGTCAGGTTACTATAAGCGCCAATGTTTATGCAAACTTCACTTCTCTGAATAAATAAGCTTATCGATGGTGTCAGATCCCCATCGGGAACTAGATGCCATATAGACTCTCTTGATAGCTATTTTTGACGTTCTTTCTAAAGATAATTTAAGAAACTGACCTCACACGAACCTGACAGACTCAGACGTCAACCACTAATTATTCGTATTTGCAGAATACCCACGAGTGCGAGACCGAGAAGGTACGCAGTAGAGTAGCCAAGTGGGAATAGTATGTTTGGTAGACCGTGCCAAAATACCGATGGTCTCTAACTGGCTAGACAGTCGCATACGAGCAACACAATGCGATATGACGTGTCGAATGGCGTGGATGCGTGACCATGTGCCTCTAGCTTAGCGAGTCAGTTAAAACTATGAAGGTCAGCATCGATGTTGAGTCTCGTCGAAACCTAGGCTACTGATTTTGGTGAATTATTTGCATACAAATAGGTCACTGGATAATCATTGATATAGCTGTCAAATCTTATGTACTTAGCACCGACTAATTTTGCTGTGTCCACCAGACGATATGATCCAACACTGATGCACAGAGTATTTCGATGTTCGAAATCGAGCAACAGGTAGGTGTACTTGATTTAGATTTCCTGTTTGGTGTCGCTCATCAGTAAGGGGTATTAGCAGCCTATAGGCGACTGGATGTCCCTTCAGAGGTTAGAACCTATATCGATATGTAGAAGTCAGGAACCTTACCACTATGTTATTAAGGTCATGAATGATCCTCTCTCTAGGGTCAATTTCGTCAACCGTGTTGAGAATAAAATAACCATCCTCAAAGGCACCACACACCCTGAGTTACAAGTCCCATTTATTCTGTTTATGTCTTGTGAAGTAGTTATTATGATCCAGGTCCTGTGCTCTGAAGAGCGACGAACTGTTAAAATCAAAATTGAAACCGAAATCCTGGGGTATTTTGTCTTTACTTACTAGCCCTAGTGACAGAGATGTCCTATTTAACTACAACGCTAAGCGATTCACCGTCGAATAGTCTTAGTCCCACTGTTTTTAGGTACACTGAGAACGCAGATTCTCCTTATGTGGTGTTTATAGCTCGTTAATTCATAAAATAAACATCTTCTCTTATATCTCATACATACACCTACAAAGATTAATACTGAATACGAATTACTTGCTTAAAATAATTGCATGTGGTGCAAAGAATTGTTATTGTTGTCTACATGATTCACACTTCCATGCATACACACTAAGAGTAATGCAGGTATATGTTTATAAAATATTGATTAGTATTTGGTACACATTTTATTTAAATGCCATGACCTAGCGTTTTCTACGTATACAAGCAAATAAGCATGTGAAACAAAGTATTATCGCCAGATAGGTGAACAAAAATGAAGAGTTCATACCTAACCATATATTGAAATGCAGTCCTAGAATTTTTCAACGCTTTTTTCTGGCCATGACTACCTATTCATTTCTATATGAACATCATCAAAACAACAACAGAGCATTATAATCTATAGTGGTGTGCATTAGCTCCAGTAATACCTAGCCTACTGTTTAGTACACATACCAGTAACATTCATCTTAAAGTCGCTCAAAGTTTTGTAACCATGATAATGGTTGCTCCATATTTCCACACGATTGACCAAATACGATGAATATCGACAAATAAAGAAATAAGATGCAGAACTTTCATTATACTAGGACAAACAAAAATATGTGATCTGTGATTATTCCAAATGAAGGGCACATTTCATCCCGAATATTTCCATTTAAAATATCTAAAATAGATTAACAACTATTTTGATATTATGATTTAGTCGAACGATAAACGACCAAATTTCTTGTCGGTTTACACTTGTCAACAATACATATCTGACACCAACATTCACAGGAAACTCTGTGCGTAAACCGGCAGTTTATCACTATTCTGCATAGCACATTGTTTCGCATTCGATCATTGTAGGCTATGACTAGAGTCCTAAACTTAGATATGAAAAACTGTGCACTTTTCAATGTAAATAAGTAAAACATACACCAGTAAATCAATCACATTGTTCGTTATAAAAGCATCAAATGCATTCACTCGTCAAATGGACTAAATTCCTTGTGACTCATTGAGACCTCTATCAGGTATTAACAAAAATCGAAGTCTCAAGTTCATTTTGAAATTTCGTCCTATTTCAGGCACATAGTGACGTTGTCTCTGTGTATCTACACATCCCTAATCTGTTTTTTTTGTGATCATTAAATTAACTAACCCCGTTCAAAAATAAATCAAGTATCACAACTATGAACCGAATTATTTTTTTCCAAAACATGCGAAATTATGAAACATGGGGATATGGGGAGATTTATCTTATGGGCAGTTTAGATGGCGACTGATAACAATAGACTTTGTCATCTTTGGTTCACAGTCAACTCCAAATATGGCATAACAACCTTAGAGGTTCAATAGAAATTTTCTAAAATTCAATAACAAACAAGTGAATTCATCTGCTTCGATAATGGAGAACGCGAAAAACAGTAACTGAATTATCCAATGCGCAAGGCATGTGGAGAACAGATAGCATGTAGTTCAATAACTCAGTAGATATGCTCAAAAAAACACCACTGTATTAACCATAAAACTTCAATTATGCACTTGCTTCAGCTGCAGGTACCATTCGAGCAGGTTCAACAGCTGGTTCTGGCACATTTTGAATGGTAGAATTTGTGCTTACTTCAGCACCTTCAGTTTCCCCAGAGGATGTCTTTAGTCCTCGAGTATAAGGGCGTATATTTCTATTCATTCTTACGACTGGTCGTTCCCGACCTCCATTTGTCCAATAACCACGTCTTCCAAATCTGCCACCCATATTCCGACGTGATCTTGATCCACTTGTATATGCTTCTGCATTTTCCCCTTCTTTATCATTCATTATAGATCCACCTGTACGTAAACCACGCCTTTCACGGCCACGTATACGACTCCCTGTGTTATTCGTATCTACTCGATTGTTTTGCACAATCTTCTGAGTACCACTTTCTCTGTCGTCTAAGTTATCAGCCTCATTAGAATCATCCCTAAGTGAAACTGGTGCACGTCGCTGTTTTAGATACGATCTATTTTCTCCATCTTTAAAAATAGTCGATCTTAGAGCGTATTGGTCCTCCAGTCCTAGGCTTTCTATCACCGTATCCAATCGTGAACGAAAACTCACTAGTGCTTCAAGAGGGATGCCAATAACATTGCGATGCAAATCAGTAACTTGGGAAATATGAAGTCGTTTGCCCCATCGAGTATCTCTTAGATCAAAGAAAAACCGTCTCCCACCTGAAGCGCTGTACAGTGATCGCACCACAGGCATCAGATCTACAGAACGATATCGTGTGACAACATCAGCTGCAAAATAAGAATACAACGGAAATCAAACAAGTCACTGGTAAGTGCAAATCCTAGTAGTTAACACTGATAAAGTTTGCATTTTACATAGCATTCAACATTTTTCAGAGGCTAAGAATGCTCAGTCAACAGAATAAGATTCAAGTGAAATACAAGGGAGGCTATGCAACATAAGATCTCATCCATCTTGATCCTAAATTTCCCATAACTAAAAGATCTTTTAAGCTAGCATTTAAAGAACGCAAGACTTACGTCTAATTATGCATCGTGATTCACGTTTGAGTTCAAGTACACTCGTACCACCTTGATCCGCACGAAAAGGGCCACAGATACTGTATTATTTGTTTATGCAAGTAACAGAACTTGGGTATTGTAGCTAAGAGTGATTCCATATTAGATTAGTCTATTTAAAATACACATATAGTATTATTTACTAGATGACGTTTAAAGAAGAATATACCGCCCACAATTACATCAAGATAATCATAAATCTTCCTTATTTTTTGTAGTCTCACTACTTCTCCTTCTTTGGTTTTATTGATATCCAAAATTTTCCATATACCTAAAATCAGTGTTCAGTCAGAGGATTACTGGGTTAAGCAGGTGACTGGTAACAGCTGCTCACGGGTCCGAACTCCAATTACTGAGGTTGCGATAATCTGGTAGCATCACTAGTCCTCATACAAAAGCTTTAGCTCACCACCTTTGGCAAGACCGTGCACAGCGTTGCGTTTCATTCAGTGTTGAAACACTTCTATCACATATGTCAGGTCCTGAATAGTTGAGCAAGGCTTCAGTGACGAGTCACTACCTCTCGCCCTTCCCTGTATATATTTGGAAAAATACTTTCATATAATCGAAAAAAAACTTTCCATTTCCAAAAAGAAAAGAAAAACCAAGAACTAGTCCACCAAAAAAAAAATTAGAATTCAACTCTATACAAAATCAACAAGAAGAAAGGCGTTCCATACCAACACAATGGAATGATGTTCAAAAGTGACTTATTCTCTTCTAAGTTGTCCTAGAATGAAACGAGAGCTCAATTACGAACTAGACATTTTACCTCACAGTATATCACACCCCCAGTTGGTATGAGTTCAAAGCCTCTACCATAGATGTCACATTTACTGACTTCATGGTGGGAGGGTTTCCATATATGTGAAAAAGCGAAAGCCAATGTCCGGCGTTGATCACAGGATTGTTGGATACCGAGGATTCACCTGGGGGAGTTTAAAAACTCTGAATCCAAACCAATGGTGTTTATATGTTCTAGATAGAATGAATGGTGTATGAGCATATTTTGGTCACCCGCCAACAAGGGGAATGCAGCTCCTGATGTTGCTCCACTACCTCGTGGATTAGACTTTAAGTCAAAGGCTAAGGAATTGGACCCCTCAGACAACCACCTGCTTGAGTCTAGGCACCCAGGCGGAATCCCAGCTTTCACACAAAATATGAATTTAAAACATAAAACGGAGGATTTCGAAGCAATTAACCAACATTTCTGCGAATACTCAATTATTGCTATTATATTGTTTTGTTGTTTTTAGAAAAAAATTGCAATTTTTCATTACTATCATTTCCGTTTTTGCATTCATCTTCACCTCACTCAGGTCCTCTCCATCCTTTAGACTTCTAGTCTAAATGTACTGTATTGAGTTGCTACACAGTCTTCCCCCATAAACCTCTCCTCCAGTGTGACACCTGAGACAGCTATCCCGAAACGACACATCGTTCAGGCTATCCATCTTCAACGTATGCAACCTAATGTGGACCAGACAACAAGTAGGTTTCGCAAGGAATCTGAAAAGCCTCGGCAATGATGTATCCTACTTCACAGGGACCGACACACAAGATCCCAGCGAAATGCTTCGAATAATTCCAACCGACAGCTGCTACCTTGACGTAGTGGTCGGGCTTGCATATCACAATGACCTAATGAGCTATGCTGGTGAAACATTTGTTCCCTCCAGGTTCTACCATACCATAAAGGTCCGTTGGATAGTGGTTAGACGAAAAGCAGTTAGTTACCGTTGCAGTGTAAATTACTACACTACACTATGATGGGGGTCTTAGGGCGAAGTCGTACTGCTGCTAGCTGGATGGGGTGTGACACCAGTAAGGTGTTTCCCTTGGATGACCAGCAGTGCCATGCTGATGCTGCCTTCTCAGTGGAAGTGGAAGGGGGAGGGGGTTAGAAAAGGTCGGTCCCAAAAATAACACACTCCACCATGCCCCACGGTCTGCCGGGTCGGCGGTCTTGGCTCATTTGTCGTTTCCTCTCGACCATCCGGCCCCAAAACAATAAAAGCTCAAAACAACCATACACAAAAGGCTGTGTGTAACAGACCTCAAGCAGATGTCCGACAGGCCCTGTGGTCGCACAAATCTCTATCAGGTAACTTAAGAAGAAATAGCCTTTCACGGTTTGAGCAGCCGGGAAGTGTCAACCGCCCTCACAACTCTGTCAGCACTCAAGTTTCTTCTGACTGCTATCCACCTCCCTCACCTCATCACTACCTCCTAATCTTCCTTCGCGTCTCTCAATTAACAATACTACATCATCTTCAATCTCTCCTAGCTCTGCAGCCGTTGACAACGATCTGAATCTACTGAACAGCATGCATCCCTGGTCTCCTTAAACTACGCTCCAAATTATATATTGGAGCCTTCAGTGTCCGCACCCTCCGTCAAATTGGTCAACAGGCTTCATTGGCAAAGATTGTAGCAACTCGGGGCATGGATGTGTGCTGTGTTTGTGAGATGAGACACGCATACAGGACCTAAGTGCGGTTACTCACTTTACATCTCCCGACCAATCTGGTGAATACGCAAAATTCACCCTCCGAGTTTCTAGAGATCCGATAGCTAGCTCTCGCGGTCTTGCAGGTGTAGGCACAACATTAAGCACTAGGGAAGAAAGCTCACTACTAGACTGGATCTCAGCTGATAGTCGCCTCTGCGCTATGCGGTTGAACGGCACAGCGAGAACCAAAAGGAATAGGGAGACTCGCCGTCGTCTCTTTGTAATCTCTGCTGCCTACACACCCACTGGCTGCAGCTCGGATGAAGTGAAGGATCACTTCCACCGTAAACTGTCTAGCCTCCTCTCGAAAGTCAAACTTTCATACGTGGTGGTTGTTGTAGGTGATTTCAAAGCACAGGTGGGTAGACTGAGTGAGGCAGAAAGGCACTTAGGTGGCACTTTCGGAGTCCCGGTTGAACGAACAGGTAACGGTGATCGCCTACTACAACTGTGCTCAGATAACCGCATATTTTTAGCCAGCACCAATTTCAGACGTAAGAAAAGATACTGTCCGACATGGCGTCCACCGAGCTCAACCCAACGATGGACACAGATAGACCACATTGCTCTTAGTCATCGCTGCAGAGGATCAGTGGAAGACTGTCGCTCATTCTGGAGTACGTGTTTGGATAGCGACCACGCGTTGATCCGAGCGCGTATATGCCTGCGTCTCAATGGACGTGAGAAAAATTTGGTAACAAAACGACCACGAGTTCTGCTGGACAAGGAAAACACCAAAGCCGTGTTCTGTGAGAAGTTGGCTAGACAGTTGTCGGGACAGAAGACTATCACTCATCCAGAAGAAGCTTGGTGCCATCTCCAGTCTGCCGTAAAAGCAGCGCTGAAGACCGTAACCGACTCTGAACGAGTGGCTAAGAAGAGCTAGTGGATATCAGCAGCTTCTTCCGAACTAATGGATGCACGTGAACGCATCCCTGCAAGCTCTGATTACTATGACGAACGAGCCCAACTTAAAAGTAGACTGAGAAAAAGTCTACACAACGACTGCGAACAGTGGTGGGCAGCGAAGGCTAAAGAGATGGATGGAAAAGGTGGCGGCGATTGGTGACAGTAGACAGTTATTTAGACTTATTAAGGGAACTGGGGGAAAAGGTCGACTATGGTTAGTGAGACCATAGCGGAGAAGGACGGATCTGCGACTCACCGGCAGGGGAGACGACTGAAACGATGGATAGAACACTCCGAGGAGCACTTTAACTGGCTTCCAGCCAACGTTGCGTTGCCAGCTATCCTATGGGATCTTGAGTGGGACATAGAGATAGGCCCCCCAACACTAGAAGAAGTCGAGAAAGCGGTAGGTAACCTGAAACGAGGAAGGGCAACAGGATCAGATAGACTAACTCCTGAGGCATACAAGGATAGTGGTAGAGTGTTATTAGTCAGGTTAACGGGAGTGCTAGCTAGTATATGGGAATCAAATACGATCCCCTCTAACTGGTCTGGATCACCGATTATCCCAGTCTTCAAGAAAGGCGAGAAGTCCTTTTGTGATAACCACAGAGGAATCAGCCTGACGAACATGTGTCCAACATCCTAGGTTCTATAATTCTCCGACGTCTGAGTGAAGCTCGGGAACAACAAGCTCGAGAAAAGCAGATAGAAGACAGGCTTTAGACCTGGCCGCGGATGTATCGACCAAATATTCAGACTACTCCAGGTTCTCGAATACAGACACGTTTACTGACACCCAACAATAGCTGTATTTCTCGACCTGAAGGCGGTGGCATTCGACTCCGTTGATCAAGAAGTCCTATGGCAATGTCTCTCACTGAAAGGCGTACCGAGTAAGTACATCACCTTACTGAAGGCTCTCTACTCGAACACTTGCAGGCACGTTAGAGACTATTGTGAGATGTCCGGGGAGGTATTCTCATCGAGTGGTGTCTGTCAAGACTGCCCACTCTCTCAATTCTTATTCAATTTTATCATAGATATTCTTATGGAGGTCTCCCTCTCGTCACCTGACTACACACACAGACGTTGATCTAATCGGTGGAGAATTTTCATTAGACTTGAAATATGCAGATAACATGCATAGTCCTGTTAGGTAAATACGCTGACAAGATTCAGAGTCCTCTGGACACTTGGAGTGGCAGTTTGAGAATGCTTGGGATGCGCTTCTCACCACGCAAATGCAAATTGTTGCTCCAGGATTGGTCTTCAGTGGTGCCCC